CGCTTAAATTATTAATATTTTTTCAAAAGATTAAATATTAATAAGGAGAGAAAAGATCACTATAGCAAATTACACATAGGTACCTATAGGGTAACTGGGTGAGTTAATATTTAAAAAATTGTAGATTAGATATATAAAGTACAGATTACTTCGTAACTATATATTTTAATTCATCTTTTGTTAAAGATATATTACAAATAAAGTGTTGGCATAACCTGCTGAAAGGTTAAAAAAAAAATTAAATTTTTAAAAACTCAAATATAATTTATTTTTAAGCTTAATTTTCTATTCTACTATATGAATTCTTTTTTGTAAAAATAAATCTTTCTGAATATATTTTCAAATATAGAGCTCTCTAACCAAACTAAAAGTAGAAATATTTGCTTTTTTTTAGATTCTTTATTGTTCTAATCTAAAAAGTTAAAGTGAATATTATTAAAATTATCTATTATAATGACTTTAATATTTTTTTTTTTTTTTTTTAGCAGTCATGTCATGATTTTATTTAGATTTGTTTTTCATTAATAAAAACAATATTATTTAGTTTTATACTATCTAATGCCTAATTTTTTAAGCTCTGATTTATTTAGTTATCTTATAGATACCTATGTATAATCTGCTATAGTAATCTTTATCCTATACTAAGTAGTTTAGAATTTATATACTACAACTTAGTATAGAAAGGATACTACAGCCTATTATAACTAACTTAAAATCCAACTATCTGAAATTCTCTTCTTAACTTTTCTAGCTATACTATCTAATACTATTTTAAGGCTAATATTACAACTTTCTAAATTTTCATCTATTCTGTAGTTTGTTTTTCTCTCTCTAGTCTTTTTCTTTTAGTTGTTTTTTCTTTTTTCCTTCTAGAAGTATTTTTTCTTTTTTGAAATCTTTTCTTCTTTTTTCTATGCTTCTATATTGTTGCATCAGTTCCTCCAAACTTCCTGATAGAACAATTCTATTCAAATATGCTAGAACAGACTCTAGAATTTAGTTGTCATACTTTTAGAGCTTATAACATTTTTGATTTTTTCTACTTCTTCTTTACTAAGAATACCTTCTATCTATTCTTTTTCCTTTTGTTGTTTCTTTTTCTGCTCACATTAGATAGCTTGTCATATACTTAATAAGTTCCAATTTTCCTCCTTTCTTTTATCTTTATAGAGCCATTTCTAAGCTTCTTCTTCGATTTTTTCAAGTGCTTGATTTGCTTTCTCATAAGTAATCAAATACTTAATTATTTCTTTTTCTTTAAAATATCTCTTATATAAGCTGTTTTTGTATAATTGAAATCTTCTATGATTTAAGGTTTCAACAGTTAGGAGAAGATCTTTAATATATTTAGTTTTAAACAATCACAAGTAGTTTACTTCAGAATTCTGATACTGTTTACAACAACTTCTTAGAATATCCTTGAAAGCTTTCTAATCTTGTTTTTGAATTTTTATTTGGTGTCTCTTATCATTTTTTTTCCTTAACTATGTCTATTCTACTTTGTATATTGTTTGAACTACTTTTTTGATAAAAGCTCTTAGCAGAGTCTCTAAACTTATCTTTTTCTATTCAGAAATATATCTTATATTATTGTTGCTAATATTGCTCAGTTCTATACTATATACTATGTATATTCTTTCTTTTGCAAGTAAGTTTGCTATCTCATTATAAGTATTTTCAGAATGACTTTTAACTTTTGTGAATATTAGCTGAACTAATTTGCTTTTGCAGACTTTTTTAATTGTGTATAGAATGTCATTGTTCTTAGACTTCAACTACTCATATGTCTTCTCATTCTTTAGACAGTTTTTAACTACAAAGATTATGCATATACTATCTGTTTTTATTTCTACTTTGCATCTATTAGGAACTAACAAAACTGCTACAAGACAAGCTATTAGCTTTGTATGAGTAGATAAGAACTAATTTTCTATCTTTCCTTTGTAACTAAAAACTATACTACTTGTATTATCTATTTAAACTATACTAAATTCTGTTTTTGTTTCTCTCTTAGTAACTTCCTTACTGAGTGAGCTATCTGTATAAAATATTATTTCTTTCTCTTCTCTATTTGCCTCTAATCTAACTTTTAGTTCTTTCCTAATTCTTGTGTTCTAAGTAACTTGATTAATTAGCTTTGCTTCCTAGTTACCTTCTATTTTGATACGCTTTAGATTCTTGAACTTTTTAAAATCTCTTACTTTGCTTTTTTGGTTCTCTTTTCTTATTTTTTCTAAGTACTTTCTATTGAATACCACTTCTAGTACATTATCTTTTTTCTGTATATAGTTTGAAATATTATAAACTTCTTGTAATATAATTTTTTGTCTTTGATGATTTTTTTTGAGTTTGTTTCTTTGTTATATACTTCTTGTTGACTATGTTCTTTATTTGAATTTTCATGATCTTTTTCCCAGATCTCTACTTCTACTATCTTTTTTTCTTTCCTAATAATGCAACCTATTTTACTATCCTTATTCTTTTTACCTTTTATAAATACCTATTCTTTTTTCCTCTTGTCTTATAAGATTCTCTTTTTAATTTCTTGTACTTGAAATCTTTCTCTTTTTTGGTACTCTTCGGTAACTTCTCTTAAGCTTTTATCAACTAGGATTTCATTTTCTAAAGCTTGAAACTACTTTGCCTTTCTTCTGATATGTTCTTTTCTTTCTTTTACTTTAAGTTGTCTCTAAGTAAATATTTTTTCTTGTTTATTATCTAATAGCTAGTTTATATACTATAAGTTAAGCTTACTTATACCTTCTTGTCTTCTTTTAAATTATATTTGTTAAGGATACTACTAATAAGACAACTTTTTCTCTCTTGCAAATTTGCAAAGTTCTAACTTTCTGTAAAATCATTTTTTGTGACACTTATACTAAACCTTTTTGCATGTTGTATTACTGTGACTCTTAGGTTTCTATGCTTAGTTTTTTTCTAATTTATATTTTTTGTAATAAGTATGCACTCTGACATGTTTGTGTTAAGTTGAGATTGTTTCAATCTCATTAAAGTAGTTGTACCTATAATACTATTTGTGTTTATCCTTACAAAGAGCTCTTAGATGTGGTGCTCTATATGTTTTTACTATAAACTTACTACTTCAAATATCTTTTTATACTAAAGCATTATATTTGCGTATATAGACAGGAGTTCTTGTTTCTATTTTATTAGTCTAAGTATAGGCTAATGTATAGCATCACATGATTTTTTCTTTAGACAGATATTTGTTAGCAGATATTTGAGTTTTAGAAACAATACCATATTATTTATATATATCATCTGACCTGCTGAGAGTTTTTTGTATCTTAATATATATGTTAGCTTTCCTACTTCTTTTTTGCAACATAGAATGCTTGTTCTCTCTTGTTTTTTTAAGCTTATCTAAACATCTAAGAACCTTGTATTTTCTTTTAGTTTTTTAACTTTAACTAGGCTTGGTAGTATTCTGATTTGAATATATTCTTTCTCTTTTTCCTTTTTGTATAGTCTACAAGCTATTGCTTCTAATTTTGTCTGTTTATCTTGATATCATTTGGAATAAAAAAGCTATTTAATACTTGTATTATTTCTTGCAGTACAAGCTTAAATTTCACTTTCCTGTAATATTATCTGTATATGCCAATGCTGAAATCATTACTTTTTCTGTTTTGTAGGTTCACTTTTCAATATCTACTAGCCACTGTAGTTCTATTTAGTACCTGATTCCTAGCTACTGTATTCTTACTAGTAATAGGTCATAGAATATTCTCTATATTAGTAGAGAAATTACTTCACTTTGATCTATTTTATTACTAGCTATGAAGAAATCAGTTAGGCTTTTATCTGTTATTACTCTTATTTTGTAGTTTTAGTATAGTTGCTTAATAAAGATAATTAGATTTTCTAGAAGTTTAATTCTTCTTATAGAGAGCTCTAAAGTATAAATGCTAACTGAATTAAAGGCTTTTCACATATCCTGAAATGCTATTCATAGCTTCTTATCTTTTTAAATTATATCTTCGATAACATTATTTAAGACTTGTATTAGTACCATAGTACTTTTATTAGATAGTCTTGCAAAATTTTGCTTCTTTTAAGATCTGCTTTTTGATAAACATTTTGCTTAGTTTTTTTTAAACAATTTTGACTACAAGTTTTCTAAATATCTCAAGTAGCATTATTAGTCTAGTACTTGTTAAGTTAAATTCTCAATCTGCATTCTTAGAAATTAAATATATTTACTCTAATTTCTATTTTTTAGAAAATTTCTTAATTTACACCAGGTGTATATACACATGGTATCATGTGCTTATATTTTTCAGAGTTTATATTCATTCTATTATTATGATATCATCATGTTACAGATAATTATTGCTTGCCCAGATTTACATTCATTATATATTACAACATTATGATCATATTGTTTAACATTTATAATAGCAGGGTTTAAATTCGTAATTGTTTTGACAATAACAAGAGAGAAATACATTATAAATCTAAACATTGTACTAGTTACAATAAAATCTTTCTTTTGTCATTATAAAGATAAATATCATTGTATTATATAAGTAATACAAATACAACACAAGCTATATAAACTATTCATTACAATAACGTCTTTTTTATATAGATTCAGAAAGTTCAAACGCAAATGATAGTTCTTTTCTATTACAGGTATATATGTTTTTTTTTATGCATAACGAACTTTGTCTTTTTTTTTTATATATTTGTTTAATGAACTTTACGTCTTTTTTTTTGTTAAATGAACTTATTTCCTTGATTGTAAACATTTTTTCCAGTACTAATATCGATAAACTTGTTTGTTTGTTTGTTTGTTTGTCAACTAACTTTAAAAATTATCCGAAGGATGATTTTGGCAATGATTGTCTTGTTAATGCCACCAGTTCTTCTAACAACTTTGATCTTCCTAATGACACTGGTCCTTCATGCAACCCTTTAATATTGAATAATAGCAACTCAGATAATGCTTTTGGTAATGATCATCTTTCTGTTGATGCTGGTCCTTCTTTTTATAGCTTTTTTGCAAAAGATACTTTTAGAGAAGATCAATTTTCTGGTGACACTAGTCCTAATAGTGAGGTTATGACTGAATCTGTTAGTACAGATTCTGAAGACTATGAAGATTTGGAGGATTGGAACAACATATTAGAGTTAAAAATTAGGCTTACCTTTGTGAATTGGGTAGAATTTAAAGCATGGTTAGATAGTTTTGCTAAAAACCAAAGAATCAGCTATAGGGTTAGGACTAGTCAGATGGATGGAGAAGTAACATGTCGTGCTACTTATGAATGTTCAAGATCAGGTATACATGAATCACAGGTAACTTCTGACCTAACCAGGTGAAGAAATATAGCTTTACAACGAAGTAAGTATCCTTGACGACTTAATATTACTTGTCCAAAGACAAGTAATATTCTAAAGATTAACTCATTTGTTAATAGTCATAACTATGACCTTACCTTAACTGTATATAAAATAGCACCATAGTTTAGGAGATTAACATCAGAAATGTTATCAGACATAGAAAAATATGTAATAAATGGTCGAATGGATTCTGGGTCAATTTATCCATTACTTAAACATAATTATCCTGGTCATTCAATTTTTAAAAAAGATCTTTATAATGCAGTATATCAATTCCGAGCTAAAAATAATCCAGGTGACTCAGATGCATCTCAGATACTTCAGACAATGTTAAATTTAAAAGAATCCAATCCTTTATGAGTAGTTAAAGTACATTTAGAACCATTATCTTGGAAATTAAGTAGATTATTATAGATGTCACTGTCACAACGATCTTTATATGAAAATTTCTATGACGTAGTAATTTTAGATACCACGTCAAATACAAATCAGTTTAAGATGATGCTCTGTGTTATTATTATTATTGATAACTACTTTAAATCTAGGATCATTGCAACTGCTGTTTTAGATGACGAAACACTTGACACTTTTCGATGGATTTTTACTACAATATTAGAAGAGACAAGTATCACACCCAAAGCTATATTTTCTGATTCAGATCTATCCTTAATTAGTGCAATTAAAGAAATTAACCCTAGCACAAACCATTTGTTATATATTTTTCATATTGACCTTAATCTTCGTAAGAAGCTTATGAGTAAGTTAGGTCCTCGTTTTGGAGAATTTAGGCAAAAATTCTATTCTTGTCAAAATTCGTTGTGTGTTGAACTGTTTGAAGCCCATTAGTTTCATTTGCTTAATCAATATCCCATTTCAACTAAATATATGTCAGAAACACTTTATCATAATAAAGAATCATGGGGTATACCTTGGATCTGTAACCAATTTACTGCTGGTGTTCAAAGCATACAAAGAATAGAATCAATTAACAAGCAAATATATGATAAAGTTGATCGATCTACCTCTTTATGTGATCTTTTAAATAACATTAATGATTATGTTAAGTGTGGTAAAAATTTTGAAAAATTTGAGGTCAAGCGTAATGCTTTACCAACAGTAGGGTTACTAACATTAAACACTATATTTTTTAAGGAGGTTGATGATATTCTTAAGCAATTTTTGATTCCTACAAAGTTGGGAAAGCAACATATGCAGATGAATCAGTCAGTATGTTATGATATTAGTTGTATTAAAAATGGTAGCAACTAATTGATTTATATTAATTTTTTTTAAACTTTATAATATAGATAGCAGTAGAATTCGAAAAAAGAAATTTTAATAATGATTACTAATCATTTTCATTGTTAAAATTTCTATTTTTGAATTCTATCGCTATTTACATACATACGTACGTATGTATACTTATATAGCATCTGTATTAAACATAATATTTGTTATTTGTAGATGGATGAAGATAATGAAGATGTTAATGTTGAATTACGAGAGCATGAACAAGATGTTTGGCAAGTTCTTTTCAAGTCATTAGTTAGAAATGTTGCTCAAGAAGTAGTTTTAGAAGTGTGGAATGTTTGTGCTACTGGAACAATAGGCATTGGACATTATATAGTATTAATGAATGATGGTACGTATTTGTGCACCTGCCTTTTATTATTAAATAAAGGCTTAATATGTCGACATTTTTTTCGTGTTGCAACATATTCCCAAATGGCTACATTCATATTATAATTATTTCATCACGTTGGTATATAAAACCTGACACAAGCTAAGAAATGCTTTTAAAGCAAATACCAGTTATTAAAATGTATTCTGCAGTCAGATCAGAAGAAGAATTATCTATACTTAACTATTCAAATATTACTTTTGGGCATTTGTTTTCTATTCACACTACTCCACATAATTCTCATTCAACAAAGTCTAACAAAACTATATATGCAGAATTATTCAGGTTGTCAAAGAAAGCTATTGACTCTGCTATTAACACTAACATATCTCGCGAACTATTAGATATTCTTAAGTCATTTCTTTACGATACACAAAATAAAACTGACGAGAATCAGCAAGTGAATAATAATTACGGAAAAAAAAAGCAATATTAAACTCTTTCTAGTACACCTCACGTATCAGATAAAAAACAAAAACAAATATTACAAACTTTGCAAGCACACTTCACAAACAACTTAAGGAACATAGAGCTTTAGTGCCCAAGAAAAGAAAACTAAACATGGCCTCTCGCAGTACTCAAGAAGGCAAAAAAATCAAAACAACTCACTCTAACGTAAAAAATAAAATCTTTGACTTGTCTTCAGATAATATTCAAGAAGACAATGTTGACGAGAAACAAACAGCAAGTAACAAGACTCTATCTAACATACAACAAAAAAAAAACAAGTCTTAAAAGAAGCTTCCAACTAGGCAACTGAGGTAGAAAACGAAACAGAAAAACAAAAAGAACAAAACCAAAGTCTCTCTTCTAAAGAAAACAAGACACATCATCTTGAAAACAAAACAACAGAAGTCGAAAACAACAAATGACACGTGACCTTCTCAAGTGGCTTAGCAGATAGTCATCATCATAAATCTGGTACCTCTTCGTCAACATCATCTACGTCTACTAACTTAGACCAAACCAACAACAAAGGAACCAATAACTCAAAGAACAAGCAGTGGTCTGATTTATTCCCTAAGCTTAAAGGAAGCAAAGCTATCTACAATAACTCCTCCCCTAGATTCAAACTTCACTCTAAAAATGAGAACGCCTTAATTATTGATATTCAAGTCCTAAACAATATCCCCTCTAATGAAATTATTTCTGCACTTGTAGCTAAACTAGGAGAAGACCTTATTGCAGCAAAATTTCATTTCTCGAGAGGAAAACGAGCTTTCTTAGAAGTGATTTTACAGAATAGGCACAAGCTTCAACTCTACCTTACTGAAGGAATCTCACTTTTTAAACAAACCCTGTTTGGATACATCCCAATAAATTTAAAACGCACCTTTCTATCAGTCAAAATTAGAAATGCACCAATAGGCAATACCAAAAAAATCAATAACTTCATTCTAGAAGCATTTCAGGATTTTGGCTCTATCACTTCTATCAAGCCTCTCCTCTTCGAAAGCACCAATATATGCTCTGACCAATGGTTAATTGCTTTTGAAACTACTGAAGACTCAGAGCTAACTTCAAGACTTCCTAGAAGTACTCATGTTGGGGACCACAAAGTAACAACTGACTGGAAGGATGCTCCCAAAATATGCTATTACTGTGAGAAAGAGGG